CGAAAGCCAGTCGAATCCGACTCTAGGGTTGCGGTGCTCATCTCCGTTACAAAGCCGAAGAGCCAGCGCTGTCCGAAGACGTTTCCGTGGTCATGTGGCCGGCATGACTAAACACCAAGGCGCACGGAACGCTGTTACCTTCCCACCGAAGTGGTCCCTATTTATCTACTTGCAATTTCTTGCTTTCGAACTGCTAGGTTGGCAGGAGCTGGAACTAGAGACAGGAGCTCACCCTGTCTTGCGGCACCCGGGTCTTGAACCGCTGACTGTAAATAGCTACAAATATTCGATGTAACAGACTAAACGAACAATAAAAATATATTTATTTATTAATTATTTATTTATTTAAAAATATAATCTCTGTGATCTATTGTTTCAAGTTGTTTCTGGCAGATTTTATTAGCTGAATATAGGTTAAGTAAACAAGTGATATGTCTCAAATGTCCCTATTAGTCTGTCCACATCCTAAGGTTGCATTAAATGAAATGTATCCATGGAAACCTGACAGATGGAGGCATCAGAACATTCATTGCCTCTGCAATTAATGCAGAGTTCATCAGATACAATCAGTTTTACCTGCAAAGAGTTTAGCAAATGGGTCACAGTGAGCTACTGCTGTTTCCTTCTGGAGGCCAAGACGTGATGATCCCCTTACAACTCAAAACAGTATTGTTGGATGATGCAGCATAGATGCAATGAAATTATGTTTTGTTTCCTTCTGTCACCACCAAAGTAGCTTTAAAGCCCTGTTGGAACTGTCGTACAGGGGCATACACCTCAAGGCTTTCCATAATCATGCTGAAAGCGGAGGGAGAGGATGTGGCTCATTTGCAAAGCACGGGGCTTGCCTGCAGAACATCCTGGTTCAGCCCCTGGCATCTCCAGTTAAAGGACCCAATCAGGAGGTGGGGAAAAATCCTTCCCTGCCCCAGAGACTGGAGAGCTGCTGCCATCCAGATGAGAGAATGTTGAGCTGGACTTTGTAAAAGACAACTTGATGTGTTCAGTGCTTCTCAGGCAGGATGTCTCATTGCAAAATTCCAAGGAGTGTTTGTCCCCTTGCCATGTTAACAAGGGAAGAACTGCCAGGTTCTGAATTGTGGGAACCTTCAAGGAGGACAAGTAAGGGGGTTTCAAAGGCATCACAGTGAGACCTCCCCCCTCCAGCTCACAAGAATTCCTCCAGGGAGGAAAAAGAGGTACACTGGAAATTGCACCGAGTGTGTTTGTAGTCACTGAACAACTATAAAATGTATAGTGGGAAGTTTTCTGGAATGACTGCATTACTGAGAAAGGAATAGCAAAGAAACAGCAATACCCATAGAAGCTCCGGAAAGTCCAAACAAAGGGTGTGTTCCTCTCCTTTTGATCCAGACAGGAGATGTCTGTGTCAATACCACTGTCTAGATCCATGTCATATGACTGTCTGGCACATGATCTTGGTGGGGTCGCCTTTGCAGTGGTTGCTGCAAGAAGCTCTTTCACCATGTCTTCTGAAGGCTGGCCTGCTGCCGAACCTCTCTTCATTTGCATCCTGCCCCTGCTGTCATGCGTCCCATGGAGACCAAGCAAACAGCGAACAGAAAATGGGGACCACCAAAACAGGCTGAATAATTTATTAAAACTTAGCCGAGACAGAGCGGCAAAGCGAATACATTATTAATAAATACTATTATTAAATATAAACCTTAATTTATAACTTTGTGTTTGGTAATTAACAGAAAAAATAGTAACTATTAAATATTAACAGGCACAATGGCTTACAGTGTGGTAGTAAAATATTACATTCCTTCCCCCTCCCTTTAAATAATAAAACTCAGGCAGCATGTTCAGCAGATCTCAGCCTGCATTTGCTGAGATTCAGTGAGGAAAATTCTTATAAAGAGTTCTCTCATTATTATTAAGTGTTTTCCCCTAGATGCTAGGAGATTCTCCCTCTGGGGAAGTGTTGTCAGGATCTGCCAACAATACAGGCTCCAAAAATGCACATAGATTACAAGATGTGTACATAGTACACACAAACACTCGGTTTAACCCAACCGCTTTTGGTTGGTGAGAGCATAATCTATGATTGAGACTTCCCCTGGCTGGTCAGTCATGCCAACAGCTTTGTCGGGCTGGGAGGAGGTGCAGATGAACCAGCCAGGGAAAGCTGCTGATTCAAATCGCGTGGTGTTCCCGACATCAATCCTAAAGAAGATGAAGCGGCCCAGCTTGGATCTGTCAATGTGCCGAAAGATGCTTTCTTTCTGGAGATGAAAAAAGCAGGACTGTTAGTGGAAAAAAGGGAAAGTTTGCTGTTGCTTCTAAAGGGACAGGTGTCAGCATCGGCCCAAACCAACACAAACATTGTCTGCACAAATCTCCCTATCAAAGCTCAACTCTTTAAGGACCAAACCACACTGACTCTTTATGTCCTCTTAGCCATCCATCTTGTTTCCAGCACTGTATTCTGCAGACTGATGGAATAGGAGTGCAGCTCTAAATACACTCTCTTGGTTCTACTAATTTTCATTTCAGTGTTGCTTAACTGGCCACAGCACTTGCTTCTCTTTAATGGTCTTGCTACCACTTTTTGGCATGTGCACCACCATCTTTCTGCGGCATTAGAATGCCATTGCCACACATCTCTAGATCCCCAGTTCAAGACAAAGTCAGTGGTGTCACTGACTGCTGCTAACCCCCCCCCCCCCCCGCTTCGGGTCCCCCCCCCACCAATAATGTCAAGTTGAAGCCGTTGATGCAGGGTACTGCATCAGCATTTCCCTGTGCCAGGTCAATGGCCATTGCAAGTGTGGGAGAAAGGAAATGTCTCATGTCTGCTTCCAACTAGACTTTACTGCGAGCTACGAGGAAAAGATTTTGATCATCAACAGGTAACATCTAGTTCGGCCTGCAGACAGGGCCATAGCCAATGTGTGTGTGGGGGCTGAAGAGGGCGTCGCCCCCTATTGAATCTTCAGCACCCCCACCGCTGCCTCCCTCATCTCCTCCCTCCCCCCAAAAGTATTTTGCCTTTTTAAAACCTCGCCAGCCCGCACCAGCCCTTGTAATCCTTCCTTCCTTTTTTCTCCTCCTGTTGGTGGGGGGGATGGAGGAAGGAAGGGAGGATTACAAGGGCCAGTGCGGGCTGGCAAGGATTAAAAGGCAAGGTAGCACCTCATGCCCCAGGCTCCCTCCTCCCCCTCCAGAGAAGTACCTGACCTTGTGGGGCTGGCCTGAAGCAATTCCTGTTATAGGAATCGCTTTGGGATGTGTGGCTTGTTGCAGCATAAGCTCACTTTCCCTCCCCTCCCCTCCCCTGATGGGTCACATGACTGTGCAGTGGGTAAGTAGCTACTACTCTCCCTCTCCCCTCTCCCTTTCCTTCCCCTGCTCCTTAATTAGATTAAATTTAAATTTAATTAGCCTCCCCCTGGGAAGCCAGCGCCCCCCCCCCAACAAATAAATCCCTGGTTACGGGGCTTCCTGCAGGCACAGAAAGTACAAGGTGAAGTACAAGGTAAAGCCAAACTTGGGGGGGGGGGGCTGGGTGTGGGTGCAAATGGATTCTGATATTCTTATTTTGAATAGTTGAGACTATTGTGGAAGTGCTCTTGCCGGAGTGTTCGGATGTAATGGGCGCTTTCACACACACACTAAATAATGCACTTTCAGCCCACTTTACTGTGTGAAATGGCAAAATCCACTTGCAAATGGTCGCAAAAGTGGATTGAAACTGCATTATGTAGCATGTGTGATCTCCAGGACTGAGAAGGAAAGAAACCTATGCTATCTGTTTGCTTATGTAGGCATGTCATCATGTCGCCTCTCCCTCCCTCTGGAACATATTTTAAAAACTTGGCAGACAAACAAGTGCCATGTGCCAGTTGCAGGTCAATGAGAGTTGCAACACTGCTTCCATTGAGGAGTTCCAGCCTCTCAGCCTTTGCTGCTGGTCACCAAAACATGGGCTGACTGGTCTGGTTTCTCTTCAACCCTGTATCCAAATGGCAAAAAAAGAGAAATCACTCACCTCCAGCTGTAGCTCCGGCTGCCCTTCTGCTCCCTCTTTTGGCACACATGACAAGCAGAGACCGCTCCCTTTGATTCCCAGTGCAATAGGATTCTTTACCTGTTGGTCTTTTCGACGGTATACAGCCATTTCTAGCCTCACTGAAAACAACAGGGGAATGATTTCAGTGCAACCATCAAGGGGATGCTTCTGTCTGAAGTAAAACTGGGAAGGACACTAATGTTTCCGATGAGTTAGGAGTGACCTGGGTTCTTACTTTTTGACCGCAGGCTGGTGGGGAGCAGGAGAGGAGCAGTGCCTGGATCTTACCTGCCCGATCAAAGTTAGTGCCTTGGAGGTGCATGGCCACCAGTTGTGCCGGCTGATTGAGGACAAGGGACCTTTGCTTAATGTCTTGGATATCATAGGAGAAGGCTCCGGAGAAGCGGTAAAAGGAATCTGTCGCGTAAGTCAATTCATAGTTTTCAAAAGACACAGGTTCTGAAAAGAAAAAGATGAACCAGATTTAGATTCATTCTCATGTTTCCCACTGTAGCCTAACGGGCTCCTTCTAAAACTGGAGAGGAAAAATGGAGGAAGAGCAGCAGGCAGATTGTGTAGCGGTGCCAGCTTAGTCTGTAATGGGGCTAAAGCACCTTGTCATCCTCTCCATGCACGTGGAGACAAGGTTATGGATCTCCCTCGGCTTTCACTCCTTCCCCTCCCTCATTCTACACACCCTGGCTGATAACTCCGTACTTGATGCTGTACCTAAGATGGTGTTTAGGATGTCCAGCAAATCATCATCAGTGAAAACCTTGGATCTTGCATTCATCTTCATCTTCTCAACAGCAACCACAATCACCACAGCTTTCCTGAAGCCCTTGGTTGGGACCGTCTTGGAGATCTTCACCTGAATGTCCAGCTCACAGGCACAGTGAACTTGGGAGCAGGAAGCACACTGTCTCTGGCTCTGGGAGGCATTCTGTGGGGGGGAAACAGAAACCAGCTGAGTCCTTCTGATAAGCTGCTGTCTCCTTGAACATCCCCCAAATGGAATATTGCTCAGTAGCGATACCTTCTGTGCACCAGTCCAGCTCAGAGGCAAGAAAACTGTTCTAAGACTGGATTGGGGGGGGGGAGTCCAGATATAGAGCGGACATCCATTAGGCACAATAGGGACAGTGCCTCGAGCCCACAATATTTTTAGGGGCCCATGAAAATGTTTTAATTTCTTTTAAGATCAGAAAGGAAAAAATGTACTTTTAGGCTCAAAGAAAATGTTTTAGTTTGTTTTTCTCACAGAGAAATAAAATGCATGACCAAATAGGACTGTAACTTTTTGATAGGAGAGGGTACTCCCCCCCCCCCCAAGACATTCCAGGACTTCGATGCATAATGGTTGAGACCTGAGGGAAGGGCATCCAACATATTGTGTCTTAGGTTTAACCACAAATTAGATATATAGATGGCAGTCTGTGACAGAGTTCAAACTTTAATTCTCATAAGAGCAAAAATTAATCAAGAAATTAATTACCTTAGCCAAGCAAGGCTGGTCTTCTTCATAGAATGGTATATCCTCATTCATGCTGTAACCAACAAGGAAGGGTAAACAAGTCAAATAACCCTTCGAAAAAGTAACTGTTGTATTATAACTAGAATCACTATCAGTCTTTATGTATCATATAAAACTGTGCATTATGTTTTGCTCTCATTTGCACAGGAAGGTGCTGATGGGATTATCCCAGATTTTTAGAATCAAACTGGGAATCAAAACAAGCCTTCATTTGCCTTTCTTAAACAGAAGTATCAAAGAAACACCATATGAAGCAAGGTTAATGCTTTGTGGTAGAAGGTGAAGTCCAGAGGTTAGGAGCCTGCTGCTGTAGTCCCAAATTCCTAATTACCATCGATTGAAGCATCCCTAACTTTCTCTGGATTGTGCCTCGATAATATGATATTGCTTTTTGACAATGTTCATTAGAGTTGCTACGCTGTAGTAACATTCACATATTTTGTTAGCAAATGGAAAGTTTACAAAAGTTAGGGATAGTTCAAAGTAACCACCATTCTTGGGCAACTTCAACTCATGCAGCAACTGAGTGCGAGCATAGGTGATAGTAGTAGGGTGGCTAGTTTCAAGAAGCAACGGAGAAAATCCCTGAGCAATGGATTTGGATTCCAGGTATGACCCTGTGCTTACCTGCAGAACTCCATCATCTCCTCCTGACATTCTGGGACTCTGTCCATTGCTGATGCTTGGCTAGAAAGAAGTAGAAGGGAAGTCAGACAAGTATTTATAAAAAGTATACTTCACCTTTTAACCATGAAAAGCATTCATGATGGCATATAACAAAGCCAATAGCTAAAGCAAGTAAATGTACTTAAAACTGTTAATGCTAAGCTAAGTCAACAAAAAGCAAAAACAACAAAAAACTAAGAGCTCACAAAATGCTTAAGATATTAAGCCAGCAGCAAGTGTCAGAACCTGAACTGACAAAAAACCCTTCAGCAGTAAAAATCCAAAGCCAAAATAGACCACAAAATGAAACCTGATATAAAACAACCCCTGTTTTGGTGAGAGGTCTTAGTGCTCTTTGAAGGTTCTCTGGAACAGAATGATGTTTACAAATGTCTGGAAGGCAATCAATGAATCTGACACCCAGGTTTATGGGGAAAGGGACTTACAAAGCAGAGAAGGCCCTGTCTCACATGCCAACCAGTCTGAGACAGTTGAGTACAGGTGGCACACGGAAAAGGCCATATCTCGATGATCTCCAGCTACAGACCAGTCCCTATGGTTTATATTGCTGTTCCATTGTGGAGAGAATAACCCACTTCGTACTAAGCAAATGTTTGACAAAAGAAATTGCCAATGATGCAGCTGCAGTACCCCCATGCTTCTGATGTGGGCTTTCCTGTGTTAGAAAGTTGGTCTCAGTCTCACTGAAGTCAGTGAAACTATAATGGCCCTACAAAATTCAAAGCACAGCAACCAACATGAACTCTGAGAGTTGCCGTGGCTCATCATGGCAACTAGAGATTTTACTTTACAAGCAAAGTTCTTTGCTGACACATTTGAGGATATCTGGGGAGATATTTCAGCAACAACATTTGCTAAGTGTGGGTGCAAAGGTCCCCCAGGCTCCCATTCCTGAGTGCTCATCCTTCTGCCTTTACACCTTTTTCTGATTGTCTCGATTCTCCCTCTTTTCTAGTCTTTGACAAACAGATTAAAGAAAGATTGAGTGTTTGTGTGATAAATCCAAACATACAACCCCAAAAGAAGCATGTGATCCAAAGTACATAAATATTTGGAACATGCTTAATATATACGTATTGCAGAACTGTAGTTTCCAAGGTCTTCTGGGAGGAAGGAAGGACAGTTAAAACCATTTTGGCTTATACTGTGGATATGCCTTGGGATCTATAGACTTAGGGCAGATTTCAGTCCCAAGGGATGTTTCTAGAAGCCTCTCAAAGCTTCAGCCTAGAGGCAAGTAGCTCTGGCTACTATTCATCCCAGAATTCTTTTTGGTCTCTTTTTTTGCTGTCAAATCACAACCAGTTTATCTCAGCCTTGTAGGTTTTCAAGGCAAGAGGTGTTCAGAGGTGGTTTGCCATTGCCTGCCTCTGCAGCATTGGAGCCCTGGTATTCCTTGGTGGGCTCCCATCCAAATATTAACCAGGGCCAATCCTACTTAGCTTCAAAGATTCTGATGTGATTGGACTAGCCTGGACTATCCAACAAATAATTTAACAAGATTTTCTTGCTTTTGTGTGTCTGCGATAGGGCAAATAGTCTGTAATGAATAAAGTTAAGATTTTTTTTTTTGTAAATATAAATTCCATGGTTTACAGCAGAGTTTAATTCTGAACCATCAGGCGCTGACTTGAAATTCCTAGGACAGTTTTCTTCTGAACTTATCCCACTTCTCTCCAAATGGACCATGGCTACTGAGTCCTTCTGAACCAGATGCTTATCTTAAGAGGCATCTTGATTCTGATGAAGCTATAGATCATAACCAGCCATACATTTAGTTTTGGGAGCAAGATAAATCTCCCGTCCCAAGCAGATACTATACCTGTAGAAAGAAGAGTGCACGTTGGTTCTCTCCAGAACGGTGGATCCCTGACTCCTCTGTCTGTGTTGCTGTGGGAGTGTGATCTACTGCAACTTTCTCTGTCTTATATACAGGACTGCAGTGAACAAAAACCACTCATGTTTGGAACTTCCCCTTTGTCCCTCACTTCCGAGATCTTTTTTTTTTTTTTAGTTTCACACGCAATTACAATTCCCCCTCCCCCCCCCAAAAAAAACACACAAAGATACGGTTGTGTTGTGGAAGTAACCAACAATATACATATTGTGAAAAGACTGCATTTGGCAGCTGTTCTTCTGCGTAGAAAAGAATGAATTGTGCATGACGGTATGTTTGGAAGAATACAAAAAAATTCCAGTCTGTGAGCCTCCACAAGATTTTGCCCTATTTAAATGGCTGATCAGGGACTTATTAACAGGGTTAGCAGCATGGGTGGCACAATCCAGAAAAGAAATAACTCTTGTGCACCCCTTTTCCTTCTTGTTTTTTTTTATTTAAAGTTTTTTATTGTTTTGAACAGTATTATACATAGTAACCAAAACATATTACAGTGAATTTCGTTACCTCCTATAACTGTTACCTAATAATGAACAATACTTTCTTACAAACATTAGTAATCTGAAACAATTTACATTAAATATGTTATACATTGTGAACATGAAATACACTGTTTTGTAAGCATAGTACTAATATAAGTAAAGCAGTATACAATTAAATTTCCCCCCTTTTTATGTTGTTGTTGTTGTTGTTGTTATTATTATTATTATTATTATTATTATTATTATTATTATTATTATTATTATTATTATTATTATTATTATTATTATTATTATTATTATTATTATTATTATTATTATTATTATTATTATTATTATTATTATTATTATTATTATTATTATTATTATTATTATTATTATTATTATTATTATTATTATTATTATTATTATTATTATTATTATTATTATTATTATTATTATTATTATTATTATTATTATTATTATTATTATTATTATTATTATTATTATTATTATTATTATTATTATTATTATTATTATTATTATTATTATTATTATTATTATTATTATTATTATTATTATTATTATTATTATTATTATTATTATTATTATTATTATTATTATTATTATTATTATTATTATTATTATTATTATTATTATTATTATTATTATTATTATTATTATTATTATTATTATTATTATTATTATTATTATTATTATTATTATTATTATTATTAGCGCCATAGACATAGTAGAGAAGCTAGTAGATCTCCAAAATTTGGTCCACATTTCTTCAGTAAGATTTGTCATACAATCTTTCTGCCAAGCAGTCTGGTACGATAGCTTAGGTGCACAAGAATTTTGATTCGGTACTGAGTAAATCTTGGAGATCAAACCCTTATTTGTCCCCCCAGAATCACGGATCAAACATTCTAATTTTGTTAATGGTTGTGACATTATCTGAATTACATCCAAAGAGGTAAGTAAGTGACCCTTTTCTTCTTGTTAGTTACTTGTTCCCTGCCCACCTACCCCTTCCAGCATTATGCAACAGCAGTAACCATCCATAGGGGGAGCACCTGTCCAAGTACCTATTTCACTTTATCCTGATTTGAGTCATACGTTGATCTGTATATAAGTGTCCTTTTGTGAAATGTGCACATGGAAATTTACTGGCTCTACTGAATCTGTCCAGGATTGGTGACTTTCACTAAGGGAGGTGCTCATGTCTAAGACTCTGGAGAGGTTTGTTCTGTAGCTGAGCAGGATGGATAATTTCACAGTTTTGTTTGGTGCCCTTGAAATTTCTCCTAAATCCATTTTGCCTTAATTTCTTTGAATGTTACCTGGCTATGATACTGCTTGAACATGTGATAATGCGAGTCCATTCACTTTTGATTTATCTGTGGATTCATGGAATGACCACCGAGTTTGCTCTTCATTTGTTCAGAAAAAGTCCATTAGAACTCCATGAGGGATGCTTATAGAGATCCCAGTATAGCATATCAAGATGTTAGTAATTCCATAATTAATAATGTGATAATTGCCCCCCCCCCTGTCTTCAGCTTTCTGGAGCCTTTCATTTCATTTCATTTTATATTATATTATTAGTATTCATTATTGATAATTTAATTCCTTAGATGCGTTACATGCCCTGCTGTGCAGTTTCTATGAGGGACTCAGCATCTTAATTAGGGTTTTTTTTAAAGTGAGGCTAACAGGAATCCTCAGAGCAATCTCTGAACTATTTTGTAAAGTGGTTGCTTTGGTTTTATCTTATGTTTTAGGGGTTTCTTTCAAAACTAGGTGGCTATGTGATCACCCTTTAACATCTACCATGCCAGCGTGCATAGTCAAGCAGAAACAGCACAACATCCAACATTTACATCCTGCTATTGGCCCTTGTGTCAGAGGAACAGCATACTCTGGATATTGTGGCATTTTTAAGGGATCATTTGGAAAAATCCCACACAGGTTGTTGGTAAGTGTGGAATTCCTTGCACATGCTGGACCTCCCATGCCAGTTGAGCATACCTATGTATCAGATGATTGTCCTTACTCAGGAAATTGGTCTTGTGACTTTTATCATTTTAGATTTAAAAAGCACACCAATGACATTTCAAAGCAACAACAGGCTTTATGCAAAGGAAAATGCTGCAGTCAATGTTTTGCAAAAATCTTTGGTGGGCTATGCCCTCAGTCCATGTCCCACAAAAGTGGATTCCTCATACTGGCCTCCCTTGAAACTCATGAAGGAGGTTCTGTTGATGTGTATGGACTGTCTACAGCAGTACCAGCCACACACTAAACATTGACTATGTGAGACAGAATTAACAATGCCACCTTAGTTGAGGCATCGAATGGAATGCTATCAGCATCTGCAGTTTGCCCTCTACATGGGAGAAATCCCACTGATGACTCATAGAATGAGAACTGTCTATTTCCCCTCACCATTTTGCTGACCACAGTCGAAGCTAGTTTTAAGATTGCCTCCTGTACAGAAATGAAGGAACCCTTGAGCAGACCTGGAAGTCAGGGACCACTGATATCCTGGGCATCCAATTAGACATACGTGTTCACACACTTGTCACTCAGCTGTGATCATGACCACAAGTAAACTTCCTGTGCTGTGACATCACCTGCTTCCTGTTCCTCGGATTACCCATTCTGCCTTGCTTTGCATGAGCTTTTGATTGACCTGACGGGCCTTTTAATCAGCATAAATGAGAAGTTGTGAAATTGTGAGAAGTCCCTTCTTTCCTGCCAAGCTGGCAGTGGATCAGGCCCGACGACTCTGATGGGTTTTAGACTGGTTGCACGGTGATATTTTGGGGAAATCCCACCCCTCGGCCCATCAGTCTTAAATCCCCTTGAAACATACATGGGAGGTCAGCTAGGAGGTGATGTGTGGGGCACGTCCTGCTGTGAGGTAAAACAACCCTAACCAAAATGGTGACACTCAGCTCTAACTGAGCAGTAGCACAGTGCTACCGCTACCCCATTCCACACTACAATAACAACAATAAAAATATGTAATTTTAAGTCTGGACTCTGAGCTAAGATAGGGTCCTGAGGAACTCTTTTTCACATCCCTTACTTTCATAAGGGTATTTGTGTGTGTTTTTGTGTGAGTGAGTGAAAAGCAAAGCAAGAAATTCTATGAAGCAATCCAGGTTATCCGTTTCACCTTGAGGCTAAAGGTGGCTGTCCAGGGCCTGACATGGGGAAAAGAAGACACCTTCACAACTGTTTGTTAACCTTTGGACCTTGAACCAGGGACTTGTAGGGCTGAAGTCTGGGACTTGGTGGCCACAGCTCTGAACTTTCACCAGCATGGACTGTTATCACATGTCTATTTATCTATCCAGGGCACCCCTTCCCCTCCTCCATTGTTTCCTAACCACCCTGTGAAGTAGGTTAGGCTGAGAGAGAGAGGGAGAGAGACTGGGCTAATTTTGCCCAGCTAACTACATGGCAGAGAAGGGATTTGAACTGGAGTGTCCCAAAACCTATCTTGACAGTGTAACTGCTATATCACACTGACACCTGTCATCATCCGTCACATTTCCTCCCCTCTGCCTTGCCTTGAGCAACTGAGAAGGCAGCCAAGCTTCCACAGACTTGGGTGTGTGCTTGCTTTCTCCTCTTTTCTTCTGGCCCAACCTCAGTGCCCCCTGTGATTTTTCTCCCTTGCCATTCAAGGGGCAGGCTGGGATGTTAAAAGAGCTCTACAATGAGCCAACCCAATGGGAACAACTGTGATGGATACAGGCTCATCTGTCACCCCTTCCAGTTATCAGTACCTCCTGGGGTACTGGAGAAGTCTACTCACCCTATAGTTGTGGTCTGGGTCTGAGCTGAGTAGTCCTGAAGCACTGCCTGGGCTCAATGGGCAGCGTTTGGCCCTCTCCAGGTGGCCAGAATCCCTGCAGGGCAGCATCCTAAGAGGGACTTCCCTAGTAAGTTAAAGGGCCATTCTATGCTAGAACAAAACCCTGTTTTTCACAGCTGGAGTCCATTTCCCCTTGAAATTATGATGATAAACCAACATTTCTCTGAGCAACCTGCAGGGAAGGTGACATAGCAAAGCTTTACTGAGCACCGTGCTGTTGTGTTTTAATCATATAGTATATTCAAAGTGAAATAAGAGGAGAAAAAAATACTTTACAGTCAGGTGTCCTGGGAATATTATGGCATTTGTGGGAAAAGGCAGAGTTGCTTTAGAATACAGCTTCAAGTTTCCTTTAAGGCTCACAAATTCACACTGGGCAGAGCCACTCACCCCCTTTTTTTGCTTACGGTGACCCAGGAGAGTTTTCAAGGCAAGAGACATTCAGAGGTGGTTTGTCTTTACCTGCCACCCTATGGACCCATTAACATCAGTGTGCATAACTGGTATCCTGCTGCTCTCCAGCCAGCACAACTGGAGTTTAGGACTGTGTTGTAAATTAGTGAGAGTAAGTAATTTCCCCATCCCCTAACACTGCACAGCAAGCAGGTCTTGTGAAATTTGGTGTGTACCTAGAGCATT